AAAAAGTACGGCACAATCTGGAAGAAAATTTTTAATAAAAAAAAAGGGGGGGGGGGTTGTTAGGTAGGGTTTTGAGACACTTTTAATGCAAAAATATTCTTTTCACTTGAAATAAAATCTTTAGGAAAAAATAATAATTTAAACTTTAGTTATAATTGATTAACTGAAATACATGTAGGTGTGCATTAAGATGAATTATTAACAAAGCGAGAAGAATGTAATGACAATTAAGTCACTCTAAGCCAATGGTAGCTGACGGGGTTCAAATCAAAAGTTATTAGCCTGAGCTCATCTTGACCCATTTTAAGGAGAACAAAACAATTTGTAAGCCGCTGTCTAAAAAAAGCAATTAATTTTATCTAGTGAATATACACAAAGTCTTGTACAGTTGATAAATATTTATTCTTACTCCTTATCTCGGCCCCACCAACCACATCCATTTAAATGTGTCTATTAATTCTCCCAAAACCCCAGCTAACAAAACCACACCCCCCAACCCCCCCCCCCCATAAAGCCATACTGCCTTTACCAAAACAACAAACATACCAGCATTTAACTAACTAAGCGCGAGTGTGATGGTCACCAGATGAGGTTGATGGACGATACCCCGGGTGACCCCTGTTGACGTATCCGTGACGGGGCAACACGAAAAGGTCGACGTAGGACAAGATTTCAAGGCGCCCCTTAGGGCGTCCACTGGCATTGAGGTCGGCGGAAGAGTAATTGGAACCTGCCTCGCTGACGTCAGCGAGCTCCTTTTCACTCCAGTTTGGCAAGAGTCCCGCATGACCTCCTCACGACCGGACTATATAAGCTGGGATGGTATTTCTTCTGATCCAATGTACAACTTTTTGCTTCATTATCCCTTCCAGTGAGCTGTACATAGGTAACACTTGGTAAATTATTTCTTGACCTGATACGTTTCAAAAATCTCAAATACAAATTAATGTGGTTCTCTTCGGGTCATCCAGTGGATACACAATTAATCCTTTCAGTGTTGGAGAGTTTGTAATAAGTAATTGTTTGCTGTTTCTAATTAATTGGTTTTTTACTTGTTTCTTAATTGTTATTTTCTCACGTGTCAATTATAAAAAAAAGAATTTTAAATGGGACTTTAAAAAATAATGTATTTAAAAAATCGTGATATAAGTTTATTTATTATTTCGAAAGAACGGATTATTTTTGCTTGGCTATACTTTCAATCTATTATTGAAAAAGAAATGTTACCTCGTTTAGGTTTTGGAGCCTTCTATTGTTAAATTTACTTCTTTACAGCAAAGGTGGCAGGTAAAAAAACAACAACAAAAAAAACAAAAAAAAAAGAAAAAAAAAACAAAAAATCTCGATTCGTATTGTCGTAACTATAGGCTCTGTCGTTTTAATAAATTATTTATACTCTTACTAAAAAAGTAGAGTAAAACTAATAGTACATGTTTTTACTAGTTACATCAAATAAAACATAGCTTCGCGTTAAACTATCGATTAGTTTATATTTGCCGCGATGATGTCTCTCTAAGATGGTACCAATAAGATATGCACACATGGAGTCCGTCCGTCTCCTCGAGGCGGTGTTATAGCTCTAGAGCAGGCCTGCACAACTCAACAAGTAAGGCGGGCCGTAATACTTTATGAAAACTTGCGCGGGCCAAAAGAAAATAGGAAAGGGGGGGGGGAAAGCTATTAAGAAAATAATCAGAATAAATAATATTTCGTTACTTCGTGGCCGCAAAGTGGGTGCTGGCGGGCCACATGCAGCCCGCGGGCCGTATGTTGTGCAGGCCTGCTATAGAGACTTCCTTAAAAGGAGTACGAGGTCGATCCTGCCATAGCCTCGGCTGCTTTTCCCGACTCCTGGATAAATATTGCCTTCCGATCTTAATGTGATTTTAAAAAAAACAACATCAAAAACAAGCTATGCGAAGACTAATACACCTTACATTGGCTAATTGCAGTGTTCGATTATTCGAAACAAATGTAAACCTCAAAGTTTCATATGGAATGTCACTGAAAAAATAAATCATATATAACAGAAGTCGTAATAAGAACAACTTTATTATGTCAAAGATATGTACAAAAGAGGTTACATCTAATGCGAGAAATCGACATTCTCTTATTTGCATCAAGGTCATAGAAATTTGTCTCTTGCCTTTCAGTCATCACATAATCTTGCCTTCCAATCAACATAGAATCTTGTCTTCCAAAAATTAAAGAATCCTGCCAATCACCACATTATTTTGTCTTCGAATCAACAAAGAATCTTGCATTCAAATCATCACATAATCTTGCCTTTCAATCATCACATAATCTTGCCTTCCAATCGTCACCTAATCTTGCCTTCCAATCAACAAAGAATCTTGAATTTAAATCATAAAATAATCTTGCCTTTCAATCACCACACAATCTTGTCTTTCAACCATCACATAATCTTGGCTTCCAAACATGTTAGAATCCTGCCTTCCAATCATCACAGAATCTTGCCTTTCAATTATCACAGATTCTTGCCTTCTAATCATCACATAATATTGCCTTCCAATCATCACAGAATCTTGCCTTTCAATCATCACAGAATTTTGCCTTCCAATCATCACATAATCTTGCCTTCCAATCATCACATAATCTTTCCTTCCAATAATCACAATATCTTGCCTTTCAATCATCACAAATCGCACAGTTGAAACTTGACCTTATAATAACTTTACGTAAATTACTCCCTAAACAATTTATCTTAATTTAATCTATTTTTAGACCACTATACGACAATGACTAACTTCACCTTGACCCTGGCCGGGACTCTTCTGCTCGTCCTCTCCGCCGGAGCCCGGCCACAGGGCGACGGTGCAATCAAACGCCAGGGTGAGGACCCCGGAGAGCCCGAAGACGTCGATGTCGTGAGAACCATCGTCACACGGGCTACCGTGACCACAGCTGGACCGAACGTAACCACGTCATCTGCGCCATCTAACCCCGAGGCAACCACCAACACCTCTGGCAACCAAGGAGCCACCGACAAGCCAAATGATATGACTACCGCCGTGGTCAACCAAGATACCGCCAGCTTAACCTCTGCTGACCAGCCAACCACTGCACCTGTCGCAAGCCAAGGGGCCGCTTCCGCGCCGCCCAATCAAGAAACGACCGCAGACCCAGCAACAACGGCCCCGTCAGTTAATGCCACGGCCGTCAGTGAAGTATCGGACATTCCCACAACCGCTTCCGTGTCCGTGGCAGCTGATAGGACCACACAAGTGCCATTGAGGAGATAGACATTCTCTGGGGAGAACTAGCTCAAACTGTTTTTATTTAAAAGCATATTATGGCCTCTCAAAGGTAGACTGAGTGAGTCAACCAATGCAAGTATGGGTGTGTGTGCTTGTGTGGGTGGGTGCCTGTATAAGTCTGTGCATGTTTGGGCGTGAGTGTATGTGTGTGTGTGTGTGAGAGAGAGAGAGAGAGAGAGAGAGAGAGAGCGAGAGGGTGGGGGGATTTAAAAATAAGAAAAATAAACACTCACATTTGTAAAAATGTTTCTTTTTAATAACACTTGTAATGAGTACATATGAATGGAAATGTAATATAGAGTGGGTAATCAAAGAGAGGTAAACTAATCTTAAAATTTAATAAAACTATTAGAGTTACTTCCCCTCGCAGGACTTTAAATTTTTCAATTCAAATGCTGTAAACAATCATGTAACGCGAAAGGTGTGATTTTTTTTTTTTTAAATCCACAACATTGAAATTATTTCTATTCGCAAAATTGTATTAAGCCCCTAATTGTATGTGGCTACTAAATGTATGTGGCCACTAAAGGTATGAGGCACCTTATTACTCTGATGAAGCCATATGCCAAATGTGATGATTTTTTAATTTCACTACACAGACTGATTTATGTTTCGAAATCTCCCCATCTGTTGTGGATGAAACAAAATGTAGCCGTGATTTTTTTATAAAGAATTTATGATTTTATGAACAAACACTATTTTCCTTCATTACATGATTTTATTTTAATGAATACAGTAATAAACCATAAATTCAAAAAAAAAAAAAAAAAAGAAATACGCTGAATTTCAATCATATAAGAACGACTTTGTCAAGGCTTAGCATGAAATGACAGAACAAATGTTAAATAATTATATAATGAGTGGAGATACCACTGAAGCCAGAGATGACCCTAATAACACTGGCACTGGTAGGCTTGCCTGGACGTCGGACATTTGGAGGGGACCAGCACGCAGTTGCCACCCCTNGGGGGGGGGGGGGTTGGAGATTTACAGGGTGATGAGGCCAGACCTGCCCCCCCCCCCCCCCCAAACTGGGGGGGGGGCGTGTCATGTTCTTACATCAAAAGCAAATATGAGATAAATCAGATCGAAATAAAGTGCCAGCAATCATAAATCAGAACGAAATAAAGTGCCAGCAATTTCGTTAAGTCAGAATGAAATTCAGTGCTAGCAATCAGGCTTGCATGCCAAACGTTTTATTTCCACAATCTCACAAGCCAGAGGTTCCCAACATTTTTACGCCGAGTCACGACGTCCTTGATGCATCAATGATTTTCACAGGCACCCTAATCAAAATTCTAAGAACTGCACTGCAAAGCAAATTCAGGTGTGTAAATGAAGTTTATTTCACTTCGCTTGGTCCCAGCGAGAAAGTTTGAAAACCTCTGTCACAAGCTATGATACTGTCTATTTTCAACATTCAAATCTCTGTATAAGAGAAGTCATTCTCTGCCCCTTATTTTTTACGAAATGATCACCGTGTCTTTCTCCCACCCCCCCCCCCTCTTTTTCCCCATTCCCTATATTTCATCCCTTATCTTCTTCAATGTTTTAAATATCATACTTACACAATTTAAAAAAAAAAAATCACCCTTTCTTCCTAAGGCTTTTGAATATCATCCTTTCTTACTCTCATCCTTTCTTACTCAGTGTTTTAAATATCATCATTTCTTACTCAGTGTTTTAAATATCACCCTTTCTTACTCAGTGTTTTACATAGCATACTCTTGCAGTAGCCTTAGCTACGTGTTTGCATTTACTTTATTTTTTTAACAAATGTGTTACTCTTTGTTTATAATATATCTATGGCGAATGAAAGCTTCGTGCCAAAACCTCGCTGTTCTTTCATTTCCCCCAGGTTTTCCCCTTCCCTCTGCTTAATATTTTCTACTGCTTAAACCCAAACGCAGTTCTCCCCCCCCCTCCCCCTCCCCCCCCACACACACAATTTCACTGTTTTATCTACAATGGACGATCTAAGTACGCAAAGTGTTCCTTAAAAAAAAAAAATAGGCTAACTTGTGTTGACGTCATTGTGAGTATACTTTTTTAACGAACTATCAAAGCGATGACTCTCTAAAGACAAATGAGTTGTACATACCGTGAACACCTACTCCATGTCTCATAGCAGCCGGCAATGACGTTGGCTTCAGTCCCTGGCACAGAGAAGCTCGTCACCGTCAGAAGAACAAGGACGATGCTCAATTGTGTAGTCGATACCATGTTGACTTAAATATGCTTCTCAATGCTTCCAGTAGGATAGGTATTAAAGGAATAACATTTCGTGAAGTTTTATACTCTAATAGAAAACGCGAGAGGAAAAGTTAATTTATTTTAAGCAAATCATGAATAGAGTCTAGACAATCATGAATAGAGTCTAGGCAATCATGAATAGAGTCTAGCAAATCATGAATAGAGTCTAGACAATCATGAATAGAGTCTAGCAAATCATGAATAGAGACAAGCAAATCATGAATAGTGTCTAGCGAATCATGAATAGAGACAAATCATGAATAGAGTCTAGACAATCATGAATAGAGACGAGGAAATCATGAATAGAGTCTAGCAAATCATGAATAGAGTCTAGCAAATCATGAATAGAGACAAGCAAATCATGAATAGAGTCTAGACAATCATGAATAGTGTCTAGCGAATCATGAATAGAGACAAGCAAATCATGAATAGAGTCTAGACAATCATGAATAGAGACGAGCAAATCATGAATAGAGACAAGCAAATCATGAATAGAGTCTAGCAAATCATTAAAAGAGTCAAGCAAATCATGAATAGAGTCTAGCAAATCATTAAAAGAGTCAAGCAAAGCATGAATAGAACCTAAAAATTCAAAAAATAGAACCTAGGAAAATCTTTGAAAATTCAGTTAGTTTTAATGAACGCAAATACGCGGTTGACCATACAATTTCGATCCACATTCTAAGTCCCAAATACATTGTTTACAGTTTTGACTCACTCTCCATCACTAACGCCAAGTCTTTCTGTTTATGTTTTTCAATATAGATATTTATAATTATCATAATTTATTATCATTTTTAAAAAAAATCTAAATTTTGATATTTCTACTATTTCAAGGCTCTTCATAATAAATTCATCTTCAGATTATTAGTCCAAGTTAACGATTCAGACACAAGTAGAAATCATAATGATTCAAACGTAGACATCAAAATGATGTGAAGGTGTAAACATCAAGTATCCAATCTACTTTCACGTGGATGAAAGTGGATAAGACAATTAAATTCAATCATTAGGGTCAAGGCTATAGCTGGAACAGTTACGGTCAAAGCCATAACTGGACCCGTTACGTTCAAGGCTATAACTGGACACGTTACGGTGAAGGCTATAACTGGACCAGTTAGGTCAAAGCAATAACTGAAACAATACGGCCAAGGCGAAAACGGGACCCGTTGCGGCAAAGGTTATAACAGGACACGTTACGGTCAAGGCTATAACTGGACATCTTAAGGCCAAGGTTATAATTGGACCCGTTACGCTCAAGGCTGTAACTGGACACGTTACGGCCAAGGGTATCATTGGACCCGTTACGGACAAGGGTATAATTGGACCCGTTACGGCCAATGTTATAACTGGACACGTTACGGTTAAGGCTATAACTGGACAAAATACGGTCAAGGCTATAAATGGACACATTACGGTCAAAGCTAAAACTGGACCCGTTAGGTCAAAGCTATAACTGGACCGGTTAAGGCCAAGGTTATAACAGGACATGTTAAGGTCAAGGCTATAACTGGACACGTTACGGCCAAGGTTACAATTGGACCCGTTACGGTCAAGGCTGTAACTGGACACGTTACGGCGAAAGCTATAATAGGACTTGTTACGGTCAAAGCTATAACTGGACTAGTTACGGCCACGACAATAACAGGACCCGTTACGGCCAAGGCTATAACTTGACACGTTACGTTCAGGGCTATAACTGGACACATTACAGGCAAGGCTATAACTGGACACGTTACGGCCAAGGGTATAATTGGCCTCGTTACGGTCAAGGATACAACTGGACCCGTTACGGTCAAAGTTATAACTGGACCCGTTACGGTCAAAGCTATAAGTGGGCTTGTTATGGCCAAGGCTATGACTGGATCCATTACGGTTACAGCTATAACTGGAAACTGTAACACGTCTACTCTGACATGGCGTGGGATCTTATTTCTTATGCTGTGGGTTAAGTCAGTAGTATGGTTACTTATGTTGATATTTCAGGATGCCGACTAAGGCTTCTTCATTCTTCCACTTATAATCCGGGCACGCAAATAAGAATACTGAATCCTGGTTAAACTTACAGTACTTTATTGAACACACTTTATATTGATAATATTAATAAATAATCCTTGCATGAATGTAATTTCATATATATATAGGCACGCAAATAAGAATACTGAATCCTGGTTAAACTTACAGTACTTTATTGAACACACTTTATATTGATAATATTAATAAATAATCCTTGCATGAATGTAATTTCATATATATATATATCCATAGTATTCCATCATTAAGAAAGACACGTCCTCACACTAAACTGTCAACTGTCTAATCACACAGCTCTCACGCTACTGCTCTATTCTCTACTGCTCTGCACTCAGCTCTCACTATCTCAGTCAACTCATACTTTATTATCAGCAAAGCGTGGAAAACAACCGCTCTGACAAAAACATAATTTTACTCTCCAAAAACGTGGAGTTCACATTTGCATCTCAAAATACATGGTCAACACAATTCACTGTTCACTCATGCTACCTCTCTGTTTTCATGTGAAAACATAGTCCGTTACATGCCCCACCCATCTGAAAAAATTTTGTGCAACAAAATTTTTGGCAAAAAATTATGTGCTGAGATAATGATAATGTCTCTTAGAAAATTTCAATCCCACATCTAATAATCAAATCAGTGTCACAACATTAACATTTCATCATTATGAAATACAGAGCCTTTTACTGTTAATATCACACATTATAGTGAATAATTTACCCTGGCAAAAAATTACAAAATCACCAATGACAACCTCTTAAAATCTTTATGTATGATAATGTGAAGTGACATTGACATCTTAATGAATAATAAACACTGCAAAATGAATGTAACAATCTTAAATTTTGCATTAGAAAATTTACAATTGGTTAAAATCTGATATTCATTTACAAAAATTGATATGTACAAGTGTCTTATCAAAAAACTGAGTGAACGTATGTGTGTATATTCATTTAGAATGTCTGACTAATGTGTCTTAAGTCAGTGTCTTTGTCATTGTCTGCATGTTCAATGTGTCTGGAAAGGAAATCAGCTACTGTATTGTCTTTTCCTTTTATTGTCCTTATCTCATACTGATAATCTAATAGTATCAACGACCATCTGTTTATTTTACTGTTTGCTATTTTCTTTCTATTTAGTGCCATTAATGGCTTGTGATCAGTCAATAATGTAAATTTTCTGCCTAATAGATATTTCTGTAGTTTGGTAAGTGCCCACACAATTGCTAAGCATTCTTTTTCAATGGTTGAGTAGTTAATTTCAGTTCTGCTTAATGCTCTACTTAAATAGGTAATTGGTCTTAATTTATGATTGTATTCTTGCATAAGGCAAGCTCCTAATCCAATGTTGGAGGCGTCTGTAACTAGAGTGAAAGACTGTTTAAAATTGGGTGATAACAATATGTTGTCACTTTGGAAAATTTCTTTGATTGTTCTCAGTGTATTTTCGCATTCATCCGTCCATACTATTTGTTTCTTGCTATCTTTATTTATT